CAAAGCCCACATGGAAGAAGCACACCAGCCTGTGTGATCACAAGGTGTCAATGGGATCAGGTATCAGAAGATCCAAAACAAACAATTATATCAATGCAAATGAGGGAGGTTAGAGTGGAAATCCAAAGCCTACCTGTGGACAATTGGAAATCCCCTCACAGAAGGGTCACAAGGAAGGAACAAGTCAGCCAGGGTGCAGTATACCACTGATGCAACATACAACATTCCTCTAGTTCTTAAATGCTCCCTCCCCTCCACTATCATGACCCCAGTTCTGTCTTAAAAATTTGGTTAGACCAGAGCATGTACATTGGTACAGATAAGAGCTTGGACACATGGAATCCAGGACAGATAAACCCCTTAGGAACAGTAATGGAAGTAGCAATACCATGAGGGTAGGGGGAAGGTGAGGGTAGAAGGGGGAGAAAGGGAGAATGGATTGCAATGGTCGATGTATAACTCCCCCCCTACACACACACACCCAAGGGGGACAAGAAACAGAAACATGGGTGAAGGGAGACAGTGGATGGTGTAAGATATGAAAATAACAATAATTTATAATTTATCAAGGGTTCATGAGGGTGAGACAGTGAGGGAGGGAAAAAAGAGGAGTGGATACCAAGGGCTCAAGGTAGAAAGAAATGCTTTGAAAATGATGATAGCAAAATATGCACAAATGTGCTTGATATAATTGATGTATGAATTCTTATAAGAGCCCCCAATAACATAATGAAAAAAAATGCTCTGCATTCAACACCAAGGAGTATTTCATATCAATCTTTGCATCAGTTTTGGGTAAAAATGTATATATTTTTAGGCAGGGAAATCATAATCAAATCAGAGATCTGGGTCGTAGTGTATTTCCATAGATCTCTTGGATAGATGTCTCCCAAGTCAGTCACATAAGGGCATATTTTTTTCATATGGTTTGTGATCTACATTGTTTTTTTTATCTGGGCTCCTGTTTAATTATTGAAACTATACTCATATTGCATTCAAGCATTCTGTGATCAGTATTTTGCTGGCCTGCAAGTTTTGGTTCAAAATTTCAATAATTATACATCAATGCACATGTAAATACACTGCAGCAAAGAGTCCCTTTATGGGTCCACACCTGGCATTGATCAGTAGGGGGGTAGACCAGGCCTGCATTGGGTGGCATCATGGTTCTTAAAGTGATGTTTAGATGATTTGAAAGAGTACTGATTTTCTCAGGTGTTGGTTATACCTGTGGTGTATACCCTCATAACTCAAGTTGTGCGATGGCATTAGAAAATATCTCTCATGTGACCCTGAGAAACACCGAGACTCAAGAGAGGCACAGCCGAACTAGGTCACTTGTGTCAGTGCACCCAGTTCAAAATTTGTAAATTAAACATGAATTCCCTTCTTTTTCTTTTTATGAATGCTGTCATACATGACCAACTTTTGGATTCAGATGGTTTAATCTGGCCATGGTTTCTTATGCTGGTATAAGAAACCTTCTACTTTTCCAGCATGTTTACACAAATTGTCTTATGAGAGCCAGCATAAGCCACCCTGGGGATGCAGGAGTGCAGGCCAACTTCCGTTGTCAGCTTGTTTTTCCTACATACCAGGTGGGAAGAATTCTTGGACAAGTTCATTGACATCAAGTCTCCAACTCGAAACAGAACGAGACAGTGCCTGGTCCTGTGCCAACCTCACACTTGGTGATACTTGAGGGCATTTTTGCAGCCAGTGTGTCAGTACGCCCCCTTGAAGTCCTTCCTCTTTTCTCTGACCAGCTACTTTTCCAAGCATGAAGTCCTTTTTCAGGGACTGGTCTCTCCTGACAATGTGTCCAAAGTCCAGGAGACAAAGTCTCACGGTCCCCACTGCTAAGTGGCCTTCTGGCTCTACAAGGACAGATTTGTTTGTTCTCCTGGGAGTCCATGGTCCTTCCAGTATTCTTCACCGACACCGTCATTCAAATGCATCAAATCTTCTGCCGTCTTCCTTCATCATTGTCCCATTTCACATGTACTTCAGGAGACTGAAAACCATGGCCAGGTTGGACACACCGTAGTCTTCAAAATGACCTCCTTGCTCTTCAACAGATGCGCAATTCGTCATCTGATTTCTTCACTGCTGTCTCTTTGGATGCGGATCCTAGTGTAATGAAGCCCTTGACAACTTCAGTCTCTTCTCTGTTTATTATGATGTTGACTGTTGGTCCAGTCAGGAGGATTTGGGTTTTCTTTACCGTGAGGGGTAATCCATCCTGACGGCTGCAGTCTTCAATTTTCATCGGCAGGCACTTCCAGGTTTCATTCCTATCTTCATGTCTCAGGGTCTCCTTTTCTTTTCTTGTTTCCCTTTTTTGTTGTGAAGTCGCTGAGTTTATAGAGCAGATCTCCAGTGCTAGTCAAACTTTTTTGAGCCTCTTCTCTTTTTCTTAATTTCTTTTTTAGTGTAATTTTTTTTAAATGATAGCAAAAATATACACAACAAAACACTCTCCTATCCAACAACTTCTATGTGTGTAATTCAGTGCCAATGAGTATACTCTTTGTGTTGTACAATCACTATTGATATCCTTTTCCAGAACATTCCACTACCATTAATATAAACTCAATGTTCCCTGAGCAAAAACTCTTCCTCCTTCACCGATGGTCACCGTTGGTCAAGTTTGGTTTCTTTTTGGGAGTGGGGGGTAGTTTTCTTGTTATAATATTCACATATCATACACTTTCATAGTTTTTAAAAAAAGAGTTGTATATACATCATCACAATCAGTTCTAATGCTCCCTCCCCTCTAGCATTCATTGCTTGCTCCCCAATTTCCCTTACCCTCCCCACGCCCACCCTGTCCCCATAAACCATTGCATCAGTTAATGTCTGTATGTATCCACTCCTTCTGCACTTCATAAACTGGGAAACCTAATGGAAACAGTAAAAAGCAAAATAAACAGAAAGAAAATAATAATAATATAAAGATAACAATAAAGAGTACGAAAGAAAAGACCACCAACAATATTAAAAAAGCCAGAGAAGAAATTTTTGTCATTGGACAAGCGAGAAATATTTGAGCATAGAGCAAATTCAGGTTGGGTCAACAGGGAGGTCATTTACACCATGGTTCAATCCACCATGATCAAATTTACAGTAATTTCTGTCTGATATAAAGCTGTTTGTGTCCCTTGCCTGAGGCTAGACGCTTCATCTGACTAGATACTCTGCAGATGGAATTTGGGTTCCCACTGCCCTCCATAGCCTTCTATATATTATGTGAGCCCCTTTTCTAAGAGCTGTTAATAATTGTGAGTCAGGAGAATTGTCTTGTAATTGTTCTACATCCTATGCAGCTCCACAAAGGGTATTCAGATATATGCTGGATTCTTCTAACTTTTGTCATCCTTCATACCAGCATAGTAATGTACATTACAGCCATGCTCATGGAAGCAGCAGTCAAAAGAACAAACTGTGTTGCACTGGGTCAACCTGCTGCACAAGACTTCTTTCAAGTGTTGAAAAGCAAGGCTATTACTTAAGGACAAAGGTGTGCCTTCCCAAGCCCTGAGATTTTCAATTGCCTCCCATGAATGTGAAAATTGGACTTTGAATAATAAAGACCTAAGCAGAATAGATGTTTTTGAATGACAGTGCTAGAGAAGAATATCGAAAGTACCATGGACTGCCTAAGAACAAACAAATCTGTCTTGGAGGAAGTACAGCCAGAATGCTTCTTAGAAGCAGGGATGGTGAGACTTTGTCTTCCGGACTTTGGACATGCTGTCAGGAGAGACAAGTCCCTGGGGAAGTGCATCATGCTTGGTAAAGTAGAGGGGCAGCCACAAAGAGGAAGGCTCTCTGCACAATGGATTGACAAAGTGGCTGCAATAATGGGCTCAAATATAAGAACAATTTTGAGGGTGCTGCAGGATTGGGCAGTGTTTTGTTCTGTTGTACACAGGGTCTCCATGAAGTGGAAATCACTCTGTGACAACAACAACAACATCTTCCTCTTAGTATATACTGGGGTATACATGCATGCTTTAAAAAAGATAGATGAATGGTTCCAATTTCATGCCACTTTCATATTTTTCTGAATTAAGAAAACCAGAGACTTTATTAGTAATAAAACACAAGGTTCCTGATTCAATACCAGGGACTGTTTTCCATATTCAATTCAATAAACATGTAGTGATCCCTTTTTCATGAACATTTCCTTCCGTATATCATCAGTTCTGTTTTCAAGTATTTTTCATAAGCAAAAGCAAAACAAAAATTCCTCTTTTGCCTACATTCCCTTTTAGATATATATATGGGTATTTTTAACTATATATTTATACTTTGTTACCTCTTAGTATATATTTTATGAGCTTTCTTTTAAAGGCTGGAAAGAGGCAGACTATGTTACCCAGCAATCCTACTACTAGGTATTGATCCATGACATGAGCAGATATTTTCACATGTATGTTCATTTCAGCATTATTCATAATAGCCAACAAGAGGGCAACATCTGTTTCCTTCTCCATGTGCTTAGAAGCATCACCATCATCCAAAGTTCCAGCATCTATTCCCATGGATCCATGGATCCATTGTTTCTCACTCATACATGTATTATCCCAATCCATTTCTTTGAGTTGATGCCTCTCCTCTGAGCCTAACCAGCTGACTACTAGACTATCATCACTAGGACCCCTCAAGCCCACAGGAACAAAGCTGGATTCATCCTCAAATGAACCCAAAAGGGTCCCTGGTCTTTGAGAAAGAAAAAGTAGCTTTATTTCAAATCGCTGGGTAAGGAGCCAGGCAGGAGGAGTGGTCACTTAGATGCTATGAGTCCCTGAGTTATCTGGGATCCTAGAATAGCAGGGTAGCAACATGAAGAAGAAAAAAGTCTTCTCCATTCTTGTTGAATCTGGAAACTGGATGAATGGATTGCTTAGAGACCCCTGAGGGCTGTGGCGCCATCTCCTTACTTGTTATGTGGCCAGGCGTGTTCCTTGTTAACCGCCCTGTCGGTGCTGTTGCAGGTTTCTACGGCTCTGCCTGTGAAGAGAAGGTGGACCCCTGCGCCTCCTCCCCGTGCCAGAACAACGGGACTTGCCACGCGGATGGCGTGCACTTCAGCTGCAGCTGTAGCCCCGGCTTCACAGGGATGGCTTGTGCCCAGCTCGTTGACTTCTGTGCCCTGAGCCCGTGTGCTCACGGCGTGTGCCGCAGTGTGGGCACCAGCTACAAATGCCTCTGTGACCCAGGTCGGTACCCTCCTATGTGGTCTGTTTGTAAATATATGCAAGCCCTTCTCATGTATGACCTCTTGACTCTTTAGACTTATTTTTGGCAGGCCCTTAAAAAATACCAGTTCCCCTTTCCAAGAGAAACGCACCTTTATCGTCGAAAAGAGACAAGCAAGCAAAATGAAAAGTGACGCCAAGCTGGGTCATGCAACCAGTTAATTATCTTTAACAAGTTTCTGGAGCTTCTTCCAGCTTTTGCCACGCGCTGTGTCACTTCCGACGGCATTCTTTAGTGCGCAGAATAGGCTCTTTCCTGCGGATGTGCACGAACTGCATAATGGCATCTATCTGAAACTCAAAACAAAAGCATGCTTTGATCGTGACCTGGTGGAAGGTGTGAAGAGTAAATCTGCTTTCTCCCCAACCATTTGTGCCCATTTTGTTTCCTGGCTCATGTCATCGACTGGAATCCTCTCAAAGTCACAGCACCGCTTGCTTCCTCCCTACCTCCCCGTTTCCACTCCTCTGTCTTTTCCTGACCCTTCTGAGCTTTACCCTTGGGCAAAAGCTCCAATTATTCTAAGGCAGCCCCGGGGAACCTTTTTTTCGGCCAAGGGCTGTTTGGATATTTATAACACCCTTGGCATCGTTCACAGGCTGTACAAAATGCTCAACTTAAAAATGAACTTGCTATACTTGGTGAAACATTTAATTAAATCACCCCTCACCACCCTCCACCCCCCACCAGCATGCTGGCTGGAACGGTTTCTCTTGGTGAAGCACGTCATGTTAGCTGGCCAAGGTGATATCATCACGGGTCTCAGAGGACCAGTGGGCCAGACATTCCCCACCCTGACCCTAAAGAGTGTTCGCCTCCCTTGGGTAATTGTTTCCCTAAAAGATCAGCATGCTGTTTGACTGGACAGTGAAGCGTGTGGGTGAGGTCAGTCCCAGGCCTGAAGGGTGACTAAGAGCCATCCATTTAGAATTCTATTATTTGTTGATGTTTTCATTCTGTGTGTGTACTTGGTGATATAAGACATCTAGACTCCTTATGAAACCATGGAAAGTTTGATGTTTATTTTCCAAGTGTCTTCAGCATTTGAAATAGGAATATTTTTTACGAAAGTTTTGATATCCAGGAGTCAGAGTGATTATGGGTTAACATTTGTCTGCATAGCCTACTGCTATGGTCTGAAAAGAATGCATGTGGGACCTTTTTATTTTCTCCTTCCTATTCTGCCCCTGTCTTCATCTTGGGCAAGCTAATTCTTCAGAAAGCTTTCCAATTTTATGTCCCCACATCCTCTATTCTTGGGTTGGTCGGTGTGGCTGCCACCCCCATGGTCTTGCTTCGGCCCTGCTCTGTTTACGTGATGTCCTCTGTCTCAAATGCCCCCTTATGTTAGGCCGGGTGGACTAGAGAAATAAATGCAGAGACACTCATATATGTATAAAAGAGAGCTTTCTATCAAAGAACAATTGTATATTGAGAAATCATCCCAGTCCAGTCCAGATCAAGTCCACAAGTTATTAGCCCATATGGCCAACATTAGTTCATAAATTCTTCTTCCGACTCTCCCAGCGCACGCAATGATGCTGAATTCAGGAAGGTCACAGGCCCGTGGGTGGAAAGTCTTGTGCAGCCAGTGCTGGTGGAAGCATCTCAGCACTGGCTTGAGTCTCCACGTGACTCTTCCAGCTCTCTGAGTGTGGCTCTACAACAGGTGAAGCAGGGAGAGCGTGGGCCACCTCCAGGGAGAAAGAGAGGAAGTTCCTAGAATCCTCCTGAGAAGGCCACGCCCACCAGGAGGCATCATCAGGCTGTGACCTGAGTGACAAGCTGGACTCCACCCCTACACTTCTTTATCAAGTTGACATGAAATTATGTCACCACCACACCCCTCCTCCTGCTGTCATTGCATCTCACCTAGCAGACTTCCACTCCTGAATAAGCTTTCTCATGGCTGAGTTCCAGCGATCACCTGCAATATCACCTCCACGGACTTTACAGCAATACCTTATGTTCCCCCTGCCGGTCTCTTTCTTACTTGTGCTGAAAATCTTCATACAGTTTAAGTTTCTGCTATCTGGTGTCCCAATTTTCCATCCAAAGGGTTCCCTTTACCATTTCTTATGGGCAGATCTTGCGGTAACCAACTCCCTCAGCTTTCGCTTCTCTGAGAACCAATTAATTTCACACTCATCTAGATGGCCACTTTATGCCAGAATAGAACATCAAGTTTGGCACAGTAGAGGACATCGTGGCTGGTACGGGACAGGGGCTGTCCCAAAGAGGAAGGCCCTCGGGGAGATGGATGGACACGTGGCTGCAACCCTGGGCTCAAACGCAGGAACAGTGGTGCAGGTGGTGCAGGACCAGGCAGTGTCTCCTCCTGTGCATGAGGTCTCTGCGGGTCAGAACTGGCCCGATGGCACACAACAACAACAGAATTCTTGGTCGAAAGTGTTCCTTCTTTCCGTTCTTTAAACGTGTCATCGAGCACCTTAGGCCTGCGTGGTTCCCGAGGAGAACCTGGCACTTCATTGGGGATCTAGGAAATCGCCACAAAGCATTTGAAGAATGTTTCACTTAGACCATTGGATCTTTGGTGTTCTAAGAAATCTTGGGATTGATATTTTGCCAAGTAGCTCTTGTCCCCCTGGCCCTGAATTCTATAGAGAATGGGGTTATTTGTGACATTGGTTATTTGTTTTTGTCATCAGCGTAGAGGTGAAGAAGTTCCTCCAGTTCTATCTCTGGCCTGAAGCTACTTCTCTGGTTTGACACCCACCCTCCCCTGACTGAGCTGTGGTTGGAACGGACCCATGTTCTCCCATGTATTTGTAGTATGTGTGCCCTGAAGCTGAGGCCTCTGGGTGCAGAGGCCAGGTGGGGCCATGCCTTTACCTAGGAGGGACCTTGGGCACTGAGACCGGTGTGTTTACAGGCAGGCGGAACAAGGTGCAAGTGTGCTGTGGGGGACAAGGCCGTATCCAGGCCATGACTCATTAACGGGTTGTTCCCAAACCTCGGCTCCAGCTACCCTAACACACAGGAGAAATGCCCTAGGCAGCAGCATCTTCTTGTCACGAGCTTC